TGATAGCAATTCTTTATTTACACTCAAAAAGTTTTGATTCGTTTAATTATTTATATTGTCTTCTTCAAATATTACTAAATTCTAAATATTATCTTTACTAACTTAGGTACTTCAAGTCTCTTTACTTACAGAGATTCTAATAATAACGTTTTGAGTTTAAAACACCTGTGAAGTTCATTTTGTAAACAAAGTAAACGTAGATGTTAAGCTTAGTAATAATTTAACGAAAATATAAAAGCTTCTAAGTGAAAACGTGATGAAAAAGTTTCCAATTTCAGCATTAAATTCTGCAAATATTTTCCTTCGCATACTCATATATATTTATCCTAACTTTGAATGAAATTTGAGCATAATACACAGTGCTTTCACTATAATATTTTGCATATTATAATATTTTATACCCTAAAGCATTATCTCTTTACAAATTCGACAATATTTAAATTTTCTATAGTATATTGTATCGAGAACCGATATATTTGCTTGTATGAAATAACAAGGCTGTAAAGTAACTAATTTTGTTTTAAATGCGCAGTCATAACTTTTTTGTGAGATTATTTAAAAAAATAAAGGTTTAAAATAACTTCATATATATAAATAAAGTAAGAAATTACATAAAATGATAAAAAAACAAACAGGATTTTGTCACATATGTTTTATTCCCAATCTTTGGACCCTATAATGCTTTAAAACTAATTATAACATAAATACAACACTGCCACAAACGAATTATTAATGAAATAAGAAAATTTGATAGCTCACGCCCACATCTACGTCTTCGTTATAAAACAAAGTTTTCTCACTCAACATCATTTTGCCTAAAACTCGTTTTACAAGATGACGTATGAAAGCAGTAAATCTACAAAGCAATTATTCAAATCTCAACTGTAGATAATTATATCTAATTTCATTTATCCTAAGCATATACATCTATATATTTTACTAATGTTTTAATAACAAGGAATTGACAGAACAATAAAGTGAAAATATTTAGTTAAGATATTCAAATAAAATGTATGTATGTAATGTAGTTACGTCACAACGGAGTAGAAATTAGAAACTTTAACACAATCATTGAAGAATTACCAAGTTTGCTAAGATTTCTGTTTGGAGACTTAATAGACAGTGAGTTCGAAGGGATATCGGAATGAAAACTTCGATTGAGGATGAGCTCAAATTTATTTGAATTAACAATGACGTCTCCAATGCCACAATAGTCCATGAAGTAAGAAAAGAAATTAATGAACATCTATAAAAGTTGTAATAATGATAATTAAGCTAAATTTATTACTATTTTTACAATGTCATTATGTTTTTTTTTATTTCTTAAACCACAATAACACTTTACCTTTGCTCTAAAAGCTTTAAATAATTCAAGTCACACAAATCTAACAATTAATTACTAACTATATACTTTGTATGGTTTGATTTGCTCGATATACATATAAGTTTCCAGCAACGCGCTTGCTTTTGTCACCATTAAATTAAAACAAGTTCATTAATACTGAATAAGAAGCGAATCGCTAAAAATATTTTGGTAGCTAAGCCATATTAAACGTTAGCCTAAGTATAACAATAAAAAATAAATTTAATCTATAGCGGTAAGTTAAAATAAATTGCGCGACACTACTCGGGTACTATGCGTAACTCACGTTTCGTGAACGGACTAATCACCTTATTGTTCAACGTACGAAAACAACACTTAGTATGTATTTGATACTCCGAAAGATTATTTTGTTTATGCTATTCATATGTATCTCTTAGATTATTATTTAATTATTTATTAAGGGGCACAGAATTGATATGTTTCCGATGCACGGTGTTTGTGTGATACCGCTTCACTTAAACCTAACTTGCAAGGCGCTACACCCCTACTCTACCCTATCACATGCGGGCCATGTCACGCGGCTCTTTTCTAACCTACTCGTTTCGGCGATAAGTTCAACAAAACGCTCACGTGTTTACTGAACGTAAAACCCAAGCGAAAATATTATTAGAATGCCAAGCGAAAGTTCCGACAACGTAAACTCGACAGTTAAACGCGTGACATACAGCCGTTAGCCGTTATATTATAAGTAGACGACGATATTGAATAAAAGTCTCTATGAAACCGCATTATAATTCTAATTACACATTAATATTACACGATGATATGTTTCGAGTAGTCCCGCAAATGACGTAGCCGTGTTCGTAGCCACTGGACGTCTCTTACTCGCTAGCTACGATTGGACGGAATCATGGCGGCGCTTGCGTCCCGTGCGCGATACTCGCCTATTCATATAACATTTATTATCGAATAAAACCGAATCAATATTGAAAACGAACGAAATGGTAATGAAATAAGCCGTAATACATTTTTATTGCTAAACTTTGTGGTGACTTTAGTTAACAATGTACTCATATATATCATATAAACGTAGCTGTATTGAATGTTTTGAAATTTAAAAATATAGTAGATCCGGTTACGACAAGTTTTTTTTAATGTAACAAAATATAAACAAATCCAACTGAAGTTACCACGAAGTTTGAAAAGTAACAAATGAAACTATATACTGTAAACTTTCGTTGTATTATTCCGCGGCCGGGGACGTCAGGCGCCGAAGGTTTGGGAGATCACTGCTACTATTACACGATTACTTACATACGAATTATATTATATCGAATTAAATAAGTAAACATTGACTTAGCTTAATATTAAAACCAGTGAAATACGAATATAAGAGAAACCGAGTTCATATTTTAGGAATTTCGTAAAAAATAATAATTAATCGATTTATCGCATTTGCAATACATAGTTTGATATAGTTATTAGCTAAGAGATTTATCTAATGCTGGCTCCACATATTGGTGTCGATTTTATTTATAATTTTATATTCTTTGAAAATATAAGAGAAGATTTTAAAAGAAAATGTGTAAATGTTGAAATTGACCAATAAAACTGATATTACTTGTGATGAAATCGCAAAGTTCCAGTACGGAATCTGTAATGTAAATATTTTTCTGCGATAAGAAGGCGAGATTTTAAAAATCTTTTCACCAGTATGTGGGCCAGGAAATAATGTTTGGTACGGTCTGAGGTTAGTATTAAAAGTTATGTATATCTTTTATTCTTTGGTCTATACGCCATGACGCTCGGTATAATCGTGAAAGTTACAGTTACTATAAATAACGTATAAAATTTTGCTAAGTCAAAAATTGACATATTTCTATTAAATATTGACTAAGAGATTTTCATAAGAATTCACATGCGGATTATTCGGTCTTTTACAACAACGAACGTATGAAAACTCCCTTGATATCGCGTCAAGATTTCAACCCAAATATCCGAAACCTTAATATAATAGCCTAAGCAGGGATTTTTTTTTACTTTTTTTGTATAATTTTTACAAGTTTACATCAGCAGAATACGACTCTAGATACTTATAATATAAACATTAAGAATTCATTTTTGGTTTATTGCTATTTCGCATCAAGTGTCACTTACGTCACCGCGTTCTCGATACGCTCGCGCATGGGTAACTAAGCGATCTTCCTGTTTGCGATAGTCAACTAGCTAAAAATAAAAAATATATTAATCTTCCATTTGATTAAACCTAATTCAATAAATTTAAAATTACACTGTTTCATTATTATGTAAGAATAATTTTCAATTAATCGTAATGTAACTATGTTGATCCTCTACAATAAATACCCTTATCTAGATTTTATAATATTCACCTAACGATTACACAATTAAAGTAACTACTAAATTTTAAATTAGTACTTTACCAAAAAGCTCGTCAAAGCATGCAAATAGAATAATTGTCACTATCCAGCATGGCGCGTGTCGCCATTAATAATTATTACTAATAACTAATAATATAATGATTACATATAGTTAATAATCAACTCTCATAAGGCCAAGGCTAAATTCTCGCAACAAGACTGAGCTCGATTCTGCCGCATCGTATACAAGTGGAGACCTTAAAAATCCACGGAGTCCTAAAAGTTTACATAAAAACATAACGTAAAAAATCGTGTTGTGATAAAGAATATACGCGGTTCTAGGAAAAGATATCCGCAAGGCACAAGAGACACTAGGGTGCGGACAGACTGGTGGAAGTCAGGGAGTCCATGTGTACGATGCGAAGTTCGAGGAGGCCATATAGTGGCATATTGCACTCAACGAGCGGAACCGAGGGCGGCCCCTATACTTTATTTTACAATTATTGCAAATTTAATTTACTCATTTACAGATAGAAAGGATCGTAAGACCGACGCTTGTGTGCCAGCGCTTTAACGAGTGATTGAACATTATAAAAATTACTAAAAAAGCATTAGGTAAATATAATTTGAGATAGTCATGAAAATCCATTTAAATATGCTAACATTATCGAGAATAAAAACAAAATCGATATTATTACATACAACTTCATTTAAAATCATTCAACTTGAAATATTATCAACAAAACGTAATCTTTCTATGAAGGGCACCTTTGGTTTTTAGCTTATTCGAATGAGATATATCCTAAAGTGTTTTAATTTCTGATATTACACAATATCCATAACAAATCCTCAGTTGTATACATCGGCCCAGTGGAACAAAGCAACGAGCTGTCCCATACAATAAGTTACTTGTAAATAAATCTTATATTACATTAAAAAATGAATTAAATAAACACGATAAATCATTTTAAATAATATTTCCATCGAGAACGGTAAACAATAAATGTGGAATGTTAATAATAATAATAGTAATAATTAAAATTAAACGCTAAAAATTTGGTATCAACAAAATACACCACACCTCTGACGCTATTGATAGAACATAAATGTGTAGGAGATGGGAGGTTTTGCTGAATGTAACGTTAGTCTTGATCCGTGGCTAGCCGTATAGCGGGCAAGCATTGTAGCAAAACGCTCCCTCTCCGGATATAGTTCCGGTACCGATGCGTTGCAGAGGATCAAGATTGCGCGTCCCTCAGTTAGCTGGTTGTCAAGTGCCGAGTGCCACGAACGAACTAATGCTGTTCGCCCTCTTCTCCGCCTTTGGCTCCCTGTTAACCGTATACATAAATTAATAATGCAATAAAGGGAATTATAGCGAATATTTCACTTAAAGTATTATAGGGATGACGGACCATTAGTTTGCAAGAACGACGTACTATAAAAGATAAGTGCATATAAAAGTATATTTTTACTTAGGGCGATATAAACTGTCGTTAATATTTTCAGATAATTTGAAAAGATATTTTAAAGTTTGTCATCCCTATTCGAATATTTAATAGCTATTGAACTACGAGTATAGTGCGAGGTGCAAGGTGATAACGCAATTATTTTAGAGCCCATACGGTAAGAAATTTATGGCGCGCTAAAATCGTTGTATCAACCATAAAATATGACGTATAGGTTCTAAATTGACTGAAAGATACTACACGGTTCTAACAAAGAGCGCTTTAATGATCATTAGCTATCATAGTTCAGACTGCGGTTTACAAATATTGAAACTAGATTTGAATATTCGCTAAAATCTCAAAAGCTTTATTATAGAAGCAAATACGAAATTCGTATCTAAATAACTGAAAATTGGATTAATATGTCTAAAATTAATCTAGGGATCCGTGTGGTATCGTATTAAACAAGTGCGCGTGCATACTTCATGTGCCAGTATCCAGCCGTTGTGTGCCAACTTATGCCTCGCGTATTCGAGGTGGATGGCACCCTCTGAGCTGAGAAGGAGAGCGCCTTGTAAGCGAGCCATGGCCGTAGCAGCATCCCCCGGAGATACGAAGTCGACGAACGCGACCGGCCCCGACCCGCTACCGCCCGTCAGAAGCCGCAGTCTCGAGAAACCCGGGCAGCTGTTACCATTACACTCAGATATGCCCGCACTCGTACCCAATATTTTATGTGTTTTGTATCATTGCTTTGACACCGATATGACTGACTGTCTGTCTGACTTTGTAAATTGCCGTCTAAATTAAAAGCTGTTTTGTCTAAATCTTACAAATAACTGATATTGAATAGAAGCAAGAAATAAAAGTTTTTATGTAACATTCTGTTTTCTATTTGTATAGCGTGTAATAGAGAAATTACAGTTTTACTCGTAGTGGCAGTCTGCGATATTGATACTGTAAAGAAACTTTTAAGTGCAACAGACAGTTCATACATTTATGTGATGTTTGTGCTAATAGCATACGTCTAGTGTGTTATATATAGTGTAAATATAGATGTTCGATTGTCATGCTTGAAGTGGTACGGGTGCAGGCTTAGAATCTCATACAAACTGAATTATAATGTTATTTCAGTTGGTGTGAGATGATTCAGAACATAAATAATACCCAACAATGGACGACTTTGTGATATTTGGTGCGACATGCACTGTGGAGAATACACATTTATTATTCTAATTCATTAATTACGTTACAAGTTTCAATACGATGATACTGTATTATTCATTGCGACCATGCAGACACTTAATGATAATTTGGTTCGACTGGAAATATTAGGTAAACCAATTTAGTACAACATGTAAAATATATCTTTATATAGAAATATATTCAATGTATTTAAAAATGATGTTTTTTTTTTCTATTTACCAATTACTCTAAAATTATATTTCATTAAAATATTGATAGCTAAAACTTCCAATACACAATAATATTTACTTGTAATTAATACACCCTGCAAAACAAATAAATTGGTCAACTTCATAACCATAAATTCAGAACAAAAAAAACCGTAAAGAATATTCCAGTCGAATCAACAAAATGTGAAGCAAACATACCTGCTGAATATCTCTTTGAGTTCGTGTTCTGAGACGAATTGTCCCAGGTTCGCTACGAAGAGGGTAGAGCAGGGGGGTGCGGGGTGTGCGGGGTGCGCCGGGTGCGCGGGGTGGGTGGGCGGTGCGCCATGTCCCGGCACCGCCGCGCCCGGCGAACCCAGCGCGGGCGCCGGTAGCACGCACGCGCCTAGCGTCAACGGAGTCTGTGGGCATTTCCTTACGATTAGTCACATGTTTATTTATTTACTTTGATTAAAATTATATATTAAAAAACATTTTTAAAAGCAAACTTTTATTTAAATGCTCTAAAACGAAAAAAAATCAACTAAAATAAATTTATTAAATTACACAATTTTTATGATATAAAATTTTTGTAATATATAAATAGTAGGTAATAAATAAATAGATGAATTTAAAGTTTATTTTCTTCTTTTTAGAGTACTGAAATAAAAGCTTGTTTTTAGAAATGTTTTTTTTTTACAATTATTTTATTTTTTAGTTATTCGTATTTTTCTCAGCAAATCCTTTCATTAGGTATCCATATCATGAAGGTGCATATAAAAAAACAAAGTCCGCCATCTTTGCAAACATTGCAAGTTAAATAAAAGATTATAAAATGTATTAATTATGAAGTTTTCGATTAATATAATGTTCAATGCACTTCCTATACCTTTTGTTTTCTTTTATTTATCAGCGAGTACTATAGGAGAGATGTTAAATAAGCCAATGGTCTTAAATATTAGACTATATGAAATTCAGAGTTATTAAAAATGAAATGAATGTCATAAAATTAACAATCCACCTCCAGGTAAATTTCTAAGCAATTAATTAAAGTAAGAAATCTATTGTTAACTGTAACACCGGCGTGTCCGCGGTCGTTGAGGGATTATGTTTGTTTAAAATTATTAAAAAGTTGGCGAATTTAACTTACGTGGTGTGGCCTATCGGCGGCAGCTAGTCAGAGGTAGGAACGCACGGGCGCCATCTGCGGATGGATGGCGGGGTGGACGAGTCCGTGCGATAAAGCCGGCAACTCCCCTCCGTATGCTAATGGGTGATGCCACAACTCAGCGCCACCTCCAGGGAAGAAGGGACTGGCTAAGTCTGTATAATGAACACAAAAGTCAGACATACCACCCTGTACAGAAAATACAAGACGTTTGGAGTGTAAAGCTAATATTATACTGGTAACGAGAAAGTTTATATATTTACAGTGTACAAGACAATGTTTTCACGCTTCGACAAAGTCAATTTGCCTTACATACTTATCATACCATGATAATGATGCAATGTCATGAAAACATGTGTCGAGAAAGTTTTCTTTGTGTTTAAGAACCCGATACTTAAGTTGATAGATAATAGCTTCGCGGAGCTAGGCTTTGCGTGGTACGTGTAAGCGATTATAGATACTTGCCCAATTTGCGATTGCTCGACACGCCATCACTCATACTTAAATATACTAACAAGCATAATATAATAAGTATATAAATCTGTGTGTAATTGTGGCATATTCTTTGTTGGGCAGAGTAGCGATTAAACAACTACAGGGATACAATATCTCACCTATCCTTCATTTTGAATCGCAATTTATTTTTAGATGAGCGAAATGTAAGTTTCCCACATAGTATGTAAGCACATTTATATAGGTGAGATATTGTATCACATAAGATTAATTCAGGAGTAGACGATCGAGCGAGCGCCGGGTGGTGTGTGCTTTCGGCGGTACTTACGTCCAGTGAGTGGGTGCATCAATGCGGGGTGTGCAGCTGGCGCGGCTGTGGCAACTGCCGGCTTCGGCTTGCTGACCTTCGTGTTGCTTTTAGCGAACTCCAGCCGAATCGTTTGCGGCATGTCGGGGTCGAACCGGACGCCCTGCTGTGAACAGCCGCGAGCGGTGCGGCGCTCCGATATAATGACGATGGACGGTTTGCCGCGCACTTCCACAGGACAGTGGAGGCAGGGACAGTTTTTGTTAAGTTTGACCATTAAGTTAAATTGTTTTAAACGATACTACCGATAATAAACATTTATCTAATATCCGCGATAGATTTTGATGTTTTGGATAGTTTGTTTTTTATAATTGGAAATTGACATGAATAGTGATTTTTGATTGATGGAACTTTTATTTATTAGAGAATTTCCGCCTGCGCCTTCTAAGGTGCCGGAACACTGTGCTTTTGTGTGTGACATCAAAATCTGTCAAACAGTGACATGCAGTTGTTTATATACACCGTAGCCTAATCGATTTCACTCCAATATCCGGGATTGAGAGCTTAGTGGCTCCGACTTGATGACCCGACGTGGTCTATTCGATATGTGCATGGGTTTAGCATAACTTACGATGCGGTTACTCGAGTCAGGAAAATGTTATTCCAAGTCTACAATGAGAATATTAACTATAGTGCTTATTGGCTGTGTTGAGGCATGTGATGAGAAGATTTAGTAACACCGTGCTTTGTACTTTTTTAGTATTTACAAATAGCATTTTTACTTTTTGTGTTCAACTATCTCGGCCTATTGCAAATATATTGTGATATCTTTGTAAAATTTCAAGTGTCGTCGTAAGCAAATCAAGTTTATTGGGCGATCTCTTTGTAACAGAACTTATTCTGTTGTAGTAAAAATAGAGATATTATATGTAGGTATGTTATGTTGGTGTTTTTATCCTATAAACATCTATAATATTAAATTTCATTAGATATTTTTCAATAAATGAATTACTTAAAAGTATTTAATTTTAATTATCTTATTTACCCTATGATCTTTTAGCTTGTGAAAGTACTAACCTGAAGGTCTTGTTTAGCGGCTTCAGCTCCAGCTCGAGTGTGAAATGTGACGAAACCAACCGGCTGCAATTAAAAATGCTGTGCTTAATTAGTGCGTTTGAGTGATAAAAAATAATTGTTATTATAAATTCTCATTAATTATTATTTATTGCATTTCATACTATGAATTCCAAGCAATTGTAGCCATATAAATCAAATCGTAATTATATGTGAACTGAACTGACATTAGGACTATTTGAGTTATAGATTTTAAAGATCAATATTAAAAACTTCATCATTGTATTATAAAAATAAAATATTACAGTACATTGGAATATACTTACAGATGCTGTTTTTCCATTTTTGCTGGTAACCTTTAAGAGTGAACCCTCGTATCCCTTCAATAACAAATAAACAATGAATTAAACTCTATTCTCGTATAGTTAAAGGATTTTTAACATTAATTTATTAATGGATAACAACTTCTACCATATAATACGGCTTAGTTATTATAGTATATACGTGTATAACTAATAGAATATACTAAAGCGAAATTAGTGGCGCATCCAATTTTATCCAATCGGTGTCATCATGACGTCGTAAATCAGTTTCGACGAAATTTGCCTATCACACAATGGTATCACATTGCACCAGGTACCATTCGAAACACGCGATACAAACAGCCTTAGCAACTTTAGACACCTTATTGTACCATCCGTACCAGCCAGAAACCACGTAATAACCCTCTATGATAGATAAAATCGATTTCTATCGAATATTTTACATAACATATCGTGGCATGACTTTTCATATTTACGACGTTTTAATCCACATCGAAATTGTTTGTCTGTTTGTCGGTTACCGCATCACGGAAGAACCACTGGAGGGATTTTGATGAAATTTGGTATCCGGGTCAACATATAGAATATTTTTTACCGCGGGAAAATATCTCATTTCTGAGAAAAAATACAAAAACTGCAATGTAACAGCATACTAATATGTAAAACCTAAGAATTTGGTTTTTGGTCATCTGAACGCGGGCGGAGCCGCGGGCAATGCTAGTAAAATATAAAATCCATATGTAGACATCATTCAGATTTTTCTATAAATTGAAATAGAAACACAAAAGCGACAATATTTATTTGGGCATCCATTGTAATTATTACCAGAATAAATTAATATTATTAATATATAGATTATAGAATACATCTTACTTCATATGCTCGGAATAATAGATAGAGTTCACGTGGCTTCGCATCCATCGGCAATCCACTGACGAATAATGTCCGCACCTGTAACAATTATAATATTTAAGCGTAAATTGAAAATTTTGAGCTTAATTTCGACTTTCACTTTAATGATAAATAAGCATATTTTATTATATGCTTATCATTATTTGATTTATATTCATAATCTTGCAGAAAAATAAAACTAATCTTCAATAAAAATCAGTCACCATATTTAAAAATAGTGACGACTACAAATATCTTGTAAGAATTCATCACATCATAAAAATAGCACTTTCCGCTTTCAATAAAAATATTCCATTTTGAATTAGCTACAAGTTCTTTCCGTTTATTTTTAAATAAAGGCAAGACATTTATCACAAACCGACACAAAAGGGGCATATTTTCTTTCAGCGGTCTTTGTCGATTCTTTTGCCTTTGTAAACGTTTGAGCGTATTAATTCGGGGCCCATTTAATGAAATAAAACAGAACTGGTAGCAGATTGGGCGCGTGCGGGTAATGGAGATTAATTGCTGGTAACACGGGCTACCGTCGCGGCCATCTTGTTGTGCATTTTATTTATGCGTCGTAGTCTCACTTTACGAAATATTTTTTTTAATTTAAGGAAGATATACGATGACTGGTAATGGTTTCTTAAAGACTTTGCTCAATAGAAACAAATTCGATATGAGACAATGAATTAAATACATTTATTTCTTAAGAATACTTCAGTACTACTTGATTTAAAAAAATTTGCCCGTAGCGCTTCATCTCTTAAGCGACTGTTATATATAAGTAAATTTAATTTAAAAATTTTATGATTTTCATGGCTTTTGCGGACGAAGGCACCGGTGACCCTCACATATATTTTATCGCTTCCGTCCTCAGCCAGCACCAGAATGTCGGACCTTTATGTCGTCTATTTTCCGGTCGAACGCACGAGAATTCCCCGTATCGTCGATACGTGATATTTTTCCTGGACAATCTTTAATATTATACTCTAAGAATACTTAAGTGCTATCATTTCATAATATAATATTTGTATAGTTTCATTTCTTTCAAGTACATATTTCGGGAACAAGGATAAATAGTTTTCTTGGAACTTAATGCTTACTAAATAATGTTAATTATATAAAAAAAATATGTACGACGTCAATGCGTTTTAAAAGCTTACAAGCTTCATTAACTAACTACCGTGCGTTTAAAGCATAGTACAAAGTACATTTGGTTCTTCCATGAAGTTCCTATATATAACTCTAACTCAGAACATTATGTTGTACTCATCAAAACTACTAACACTCAGATATTACAAGCGAAGCTGCCCGGTCACTCTGAAAATGCCCCTTCACGTCGCCTATTTTACAGTCGGTTGCGCATGAATCCCTACACTACCATTGAGTTATGTTCCGCACTTGTGTTCATAAGAAAAATGAATTGTTCTTGCTAGTACTACTCTTACTTTGTTTGGTAAATTTATTTAAAAGAATTTAACATATTTACTACCTATTATAATTATAGAAGATTAGCTGTGTGTATGACTGTAATATTTTTTTAGCTATTTTATCCCGTGAGATACAAAATTTCGGCGGTATAGAGCATTATAGAAGAAAAGCTGTACCGGTTTATAAGTGAGAATGGTATAGGCTACTTTTATCGTTGTAGTATAAGATAAAAGTTAGTAAAAGATAAATTAAAAAAAATACACCAAAATATTTTGACAATATTAACACGATTTAAGATATTTACATGAAAATTTTATCTTAATTTTACGCCTTCACGACTTCAAAAGCGTACGAATATTTGATCTGTCTACGGCGGCAGATAACATCTACGCTTGACATTATTGCGACGAAAAAGAGTATTAAATATTCCTTCCAGTGGAATAGAAGCCACTAATTTGTTCGACGCTTTATGAATTATTTTATTCGCCTAGAGACTGAGGGTTGCAGTAGAAATTTGAATTCCTCATGTACATAGTGTATGTGAAACTTTGCAAAGAGTCGGCAAAGGAAACACCTAATAAAATTTGGAAAGTTAGAAAGAGGTTATATTTGATTTCACGGTATTATAAATTACATAAAAGCTTTTTCTACGCTATGCTTTATTAATGAAATAAAGTATTTGGAAACTAGTGGTTTGAAAATTTAAAGCTTATATTTTTTTTTACGACAGTAGTTTTAGAATTTATTAATTTGGGGTTTGAGATATGATTCTGACATTGATGGCATTGTATAGGTAATATCTTATAGTTAATAAGGTTTATAATCAAATCGATTGAGGAAATCATGGCTAGCCTGAACAGTATTAAAGCTATGACACTGAGCATTTGTTCATGAATGAGCAGTCAAAGAGATGTAACAAACGTCTCAGTGCATAACCATCGATAAGCCCACTCAAACGACCAATTTAGTGCACTGAACATAATACTGCATACTGTTGTGTATAAACACCTTAGTATTAGTCTTTTACGACTCTAAGAATTAGTTACTGTATAGAAAACTATGTTCGTAAGTCAGAAAATAAGCTATACAGTAACCGCAGTAATTTGTCAAAACAAATTACCCTTAAAATAAGTAAGTGAATGATTTTCGTGTAGAATAACTGACCTAACATTTTTCAAGTTCTTTTAAGTTTAAGGAATTTTGTTTTTGTCTATACACTCGCTCAGGTTCGTCCCTAGGTACGTAAATTTTTTTTGAGCGGAACCCTAATTCTTTTCTAAAATAAAAGTAGCCGATATTACTCCCTATAACATCAGCTATCTTGGAGTGAAAGTCCCGTCAAAATTAGACCAGCCGTTTCAGAGCTTATCCGGAACAAACAGATAGACAGACAAAAATTTTAAAAATTGTTTTTTCTTAGTACCGTATATAATTTCATATGCATTCAGTAAAACACTGTTATTTTAACATTACAAACAGACCCTTCAATTTTATTTATCTGCATAGATATGATAAAATAACAAATAAAGTAACAAAGCATAATCTGTACATGAAACGTTAAAAAAAATAAAATTGTTACGTATTGTGTACAGGATATAAGCCCCAAAAACTATACTCGTTGATTTTTTTGTATGTCTGCTTGTTTGTATACCTGTGTGCACTTCGCACCAAAAGCTTTAAACGGATTATAACTAAATTTTGTGTAGTAATAACTAATTACTCGTGTCAACGTTTAGGATACCTTTGATCGTACAGGAAAATCTTTCATCCCAATGGGGAAAAAAAATAACTGGCTGGCTGAGTCCATCATACAAAATTAAAAAAAAATTATTACATAAACTTTTAGTAGCAATATTATAAATTACATATTTATCAATTTCATTTTCATGGGAACATTTTCATGAAAATTAGTTTGAGTGTAAATCGCTATCTAATATATACCTATTTTACCTATACATAGTACAAAACAAAGTCGCTGTCTCCGTCTGTCTGTTTCGTCACTTACTTCTTCTAAACCACGCAACGAGTTTTGATACAGTTTTTACTAATAGAATGAGTGATAAACGAGGAATATTTGTGTATATAATTTCGAAATATATCGTTCAAGATGGCTAAACTATGACGGTATTTGTAAAAAAAAACTGTTGTAGGCTTACATTGGCTAACGCTGGATAAACCTTGTATTATAATGTACTAAAAAATGTAGGTCTTAAAAAGGCTTACAGAAAAGTCCGCGGTAGATAGATAAATAGTTTATTTCCTAAGGTACACTCGAAATAAATATTTTTATCTAGTATAGGTGTAAAACGTACTTAGGGACGCACGCATCCAAGATAAGCGAGGGTAAGTTAATAAGCAAGTATAGATAAACAATATTTATTTGTACTTGTCATGATATGATATGATACCTATATAATACTATATAATTAACCTATATTTTTTTAATACTTTCATTTAATAATTATGTTATCTCAATATAATAATATAATTTATATCTACAAAATTTTTGATTTTATTATGCAGTAGCAATATAATGTTATCATTGGCCCCGAAATTAATCAAATGGTTCCATGAAATATATCAAATGAAAAGGGTCATATGATTTACTGATGCCACTTAATAATTATGAGCGGAAAATTTAACTGTGTTGTAATTTAGCGTATGATTATAAATTTGTCTATTAATTAGTGTCACAGATAATATCGTGTGCTTCTAAAAAAAAATATACTTTCTGTTACAGATCCGGCCTCATGCCAGTTGAATCTGTCGGCTTTGCTAACGAATCGATCATTGAAAAAAAATGTGTTCATACGAGGACGAGATTCAATAGCTGGCTATAAATAAGTGAAAATAAAAAATAAAAAACGGATAAAGGTGTATTCACACGATCGATCGCACCGGCGTGCATCCGAGGCGAGTGAAGCGGAAACGCCTGGGGCGCTGCACAGCGAATTTATCATACGCTTATGTGTATATAGCTTTCAAAGTGTAAATATTATCGGTATACTGCACGTGACAGATATATATTTATAGCCACACTATGACATTATTTGACGGATGGAATAATATGTTATATTAAATTACATATAAATACATTTTAAATTTGAAATGAAAATAATACAAATACGTTTGCCGTTAGATATTGGTTTATTTATTTTAACATAAATCGCACTTTCTTGTAAATTTTAGTCATTTATAGAAAATAAGTAAAGCGAATAATTGCTACTGTCGCTCTCTCTATTGACATTGGTTATCACTGTCAACAAAAAGAACAACAATGAGTCTCTGCACTCGAAAACAAGAAGGAATCAAAATTAAATGTCAACAGTGGAGCGTCATTGAAAAATGATAAGTAAAGAATTATTCTACTTCAATGCGCGGTGTTGTAACATCGTTTTGTTTTTAGACACGATTTTATTAGCTTCACTCTGCAACTAACTTATTAAAAGATTCAAACGTTTGAAGTCTATTATAACCTTGTTAACAGTCAACCAATGGTTTTATAAAGTCTTCGGATTTGGGCTCCTTTAATTTGCTTGGACGAGTCATTTCAACTTTGACCCAGGTAAAATTTTATAGTTAAAATTAATATT